AACCCAAATATCCAGATGTGTGCAGCACATTTTATGGAGGACTGTTTCCTGATCCTGGTAGAGTAGACTACAATGCCGGCTGTTCTGACTCGCAGTCTGTAAGTACGTTTTCATTTAAAGGATTTGCCACTGATGATTCAAACGCGAGTTTTGAGCAGTGTAGAGTAGCGCTTGTTGTTTGTTGTTTCTTCGATCACAAATGCAGACATGGTTTTATGTTTGCGCGGTGCAATGCAACGCATATGACCCCTTTAATTTCATTCATGGTTGTTGTCAAAAAGTATTTCAACAGGTAAAAAGGACTGAATGAGCTATAATCTGTCAAATATAACAACTATGAATGAATTGAAGTCATTTTGAGGCAGAAATAACAGTTCACTCAATAAGTAGAGTCTGTAATCACTTTCTGGCAAGTGTAAAATGGACGGACGCGGACGGCAATCAGTTTTCAGCAGACGATCAATTTTCGGCACGACACTGGCAAATACGGGACGGTTGGCAACCCTAGTTACAATAAACATCAAACTACAGGGCTACAAGCCTGGTTAATTTAAATATAAAACTATAACAATGATATAAGGATTTAAATAAGCAAATACTGAAAAGTCTAGGATTCGATCATTATTGCAGTGATTAATATGTTTCTGGCATGTTCTGTTTTACATTAATTATTTTAATTAGTGTGTGTGTAGCTTTCATTTCTTAAACAACCATGTTGGAAGATATACCCATGTATTACCTACATATTCCAGGATGATATTGTCAAGATTCATTGGACCCAAATTGTGAAATAGTGGTTCAGTGAGCATGCTGAGCTTAACCCTATTAAAAGTCTTTAGGATGTGCTGGAGTCGCAACTTTACAGAGTGGTTTGACTCTCCCATTGTCAACCAAGATCTCGGCCAAAATGTTGCATAAGTTTGACACAACAATCCCACAACGAAAGCACCATATGTGTATCACAATGTTAGCTAAAGGCACTCCAATGAAATATTGAAATGAAATAATAGTGTGAGAAACTTTTTTCTGGACAGGAAGTGTAAAGTCGTCTTTAGCACATTTCAAAGACTTTCAGTTGGGTTAAGGTCAGGACTATGTGGTGGCCAATCTTTCACAGTTTGAGCCTGATGAACCTTGGCATTGTCATCCTGGAATATGGACATGGGTATTTCTTCCAACATGGTTGTTTAAGAAATAAAAAGCTACGCACTGCATCAGTTAGGGTTAAAAGAATTGCTTCCAAACATACAACATGCCAGAAACATATTAATCACTGCAATAATAATTCAGTCTTAAACTCTTAGGTATTTGCCGATGAACGTGCTACATTGCTAGAAGAATGGCATCTATGCTAATATTAGTCTGTTTTGCTCTTATTCCGAGGTCACCGTATCCACCAGATCCAGTCTGTATCCAGATCAGATGGTCACTGCAGTCACCCGGATCCAGTACGTATCCAGCCCAGATGGTGGATCAGCACCTAGAGAGGACCTCTACAGCCCTGAAAGACAGCAGAGACCAGGACAACTAGATGAGCCCAGAGACAGATCCCCAGTAAAGACCTTGTCTCAGACGGCCACCGGGAACAATACCACAGGAACCAGTTGAGTCCTCTGCACAATGTGACTTTGCTGCAGCCTGGAATTGAACTGCTGGTTTTGTCTGGCTAGAGGAGAACTGGCCCCCCGACTGAGCCTGGTTTCTCCCAAGGTTTTTTCTCCATTCTGTCAGACCAGGACAACTAGATGAGCCCCAGATACAAATCCCCAGTAAAGACTTTGTCTCAGACGGCCACCGGTAACAATACCACAGGAACCAGTTGAGTCCTCTGCACAATGTGACTTTGCTGCAGCCTGGAATTGAACTGCTGGTTTTGTCTGGCTAGAGGAGAACTGGCCCCCCGACTGAGCCTGGTTTCTCCCAAGGTTTTTTCTCCATTCTGTCACCGATGGAGTTTTGGTTCCTTGCCGCTGTCGCCTCTGGCTTGCTTAGTTGGGGACACTTCATTTCCAGCGATATCGTTGACTTGATTGCACAGAGACTATTTAAACTGAACTGAGCTGGATGATGACATCACTGAATTCAATGATGAACTGCCTTTAACTGAAAAATTTGTGTTTACTATTGTCATTTTGCATTATTGACCCACTGTTTTCCTAATTCATGCTGTACAGTTGCTTTGACACAATATGTACTGTTAAAAGCGCTATATAAATAAAGGTGACTTGACTTGACTTTAAATCCAGACAGTGACTTTATAAGCACTTTCCACACAAATGCGATTCATTTGAAGAGCACGTATCAGAGTGAATTTCTGCATGTTAAGATAGCAGAGCTATGTGCAATAATGCATACAAGTTTATTAGTACACATCCATTATTAATATTACATTGCAATGCTAAATACATGCTTTATTCATCATATGTTCTCATAGTTATTTTGTTTTTTAAGTTACAATTTTGTTACAAAATACTACTGTTTTGATCTGTTTGCTTTTTGTAATGGTTACCATTTACTTTTGTGTGATTTTTAAAATGTATTAAAACCAGTTAGGATCAGTTTGACCTGGAAACAAGTTTTTTTTCTTTCATAGTTGCAAGTGAGATTTCAATGATATTTTGACTACTGAACTAGGACATGTTTCTGGTTCCCATTTAAGAAATCTGGTCACCTTATTTTAAATAGTTTCTTTTTAAGAAATCAGTTGAATTGAAAATCCAACTATCAAGTCATCTTTTGATCTGATGACTTGTACTGAATCAGTAGGGCCCAATTGTCCTTTTGAATCATTCTTTTTGATTTGTTCTTTTAAATGAATCATTTAACTAAAAGGGAGATTTTCTCAATGGAGAAACATGCTTTTTACCAACATTTGTATTGGAAAGATCTGGATGTACTATAGCACCCCACATTATACAACACCATAAAATCAGTTTACACATTTGTTTCATAATGGCTAATTTGATTTCTTTTAATATTTCAAAGAATGTATCATATATCAGAATAAATAAACATGACCTGAATTAGCATGAGAACTTCAAGTATCCAGGCTTTTCGTAACAGCATTTAAAAGTTGGCAGCAAATTATGCAACTCATCAGGGCAAAATTAATAAAATGAAAGGGCATATTTACTCTGATATGAGAAATATTGGAATAGTGCATTATGAGGTTTCGATGTCATACCCATTTCTTGAACATGTTATCCTGTGTAGTTTTCAGTAGTGTGTATATTACATCATTCTGAGAGATGAATCATCTGTTTCCGCTGCTAGAGAAAGCAAAATAGCTTTTGGACTATTCTCAAACAGGGCAGCTCTGTTCTGTGTCTGGCCCTTCTTTACCCAGTGTCCATAAATCTTGAATGCGCAGGCATCGATGAGTTTGTGAATAGGCTTTACTGCACGTGCATTATGAGGTTTCGATGTCATACCCATTTCTTGAACATGTTATCCTGTGTAGTTTTCAGTAGTGTGTATATTACATCATTCTGAGAGATGAATCATCTGCTAGAGAAAGCAAAATAGCTTTTGGACTATTCTCAAACAGGGCAGCTCTGTTCTGTGTCTGGCCCTTCTTTACCCAGTGTCCATAAATCTTGAATGCGCAGGCATCGATGAGTTTGTGAATAGGCTTTACTGCATAGGGGTCACTCTTGATCACTTCTTTGGTAACTGGCTTGGCACGTCGATAATTGCAGTAAATGCGCATTGTTGCCAGAACTGTCATGCAGATTACCTGAAAAACACAAGTGTTTGCAATAAACCTACATTGGGGAAATCTTTACCGTTATAAGGGCAAACCTTTTCAGTATTAATCCTCTTTTATGTCAAATTCTTAAATGTGGTCATTCAATTCAATTTGAATAGACATTGTTACTAATCAAATGAAATCAGCATCAACAAAATCCATCTTTGCACAGATGGCACAGAAGTGGCATTTAAAGGTGGGGTAAGTGATTTCTGGTAGCCAATGTTGACATTTGAAATCACCAAAACAAACACGCCCCTACCCCAAAAGGGTATCGACCCTATTTTGATAGCTCCACCCCACACATACGTACGCAACACAGGCAACGATTAGCAAAACCAATGTTACACCGTGTCTACACCGGACGCGAGTGGCGCGACAAAATACTATAGAACTCATAATCAGTGATGCTGTCTACACCATAGATACAGTATATATACATATCTATGGTCTACACTGGCTGCGGCACGACACGACAAATCCCAGACAGAAAACTGCTGCTGCGTTCTATTTATGACGTATTGACACAAATATCAAATGATTTTCGCTTTGTCGCGTCCAGTGTACTAGACAGACTTTAGCTGTTGCGGCGCAGACATGGTGTTACTCACCTATCCAGAAGAAACATAGCAACCTCGGCGTCCGATCGCAGGTCTACTTCTCCTCGAGTTCTCTCCAGCGCTGGAAAGCTGATCCGATATTTACACGGGTCCTACTTTTTGCCTTAAGCCTTCTTTTGTTCCGCAGACTTTTTTCTCTTTTGTTTTTTTTTTTAATCCGCCATCTCTATCTTTCTGTCACTGGGCTAATGTCCGTCCTATCCTGTGCACTGAACGCTCTCTCCTCCACATCATGAGTAGACACGCCCCTTACTGCTGATTGGCTACAAGTTTGTTTTGCTATTCGGCTTGAATCCATAGTTGCCAAGTCCACGTATTATACACGACTTTGGGCTTCCTTTTTTTTTTTTTAAAGTTGCTTGAAAAAATCCCAGGGTTGCGGTTTTTTGCGCTTATTTTAAAAAATATGGTTGCTTGTTAGGGAAATCTGACAAGCAACTTCATTTCTTTATTTATGTTCGCCATATTCTCCAATGCATTGAATGACACTCTGTCTGCTCGCAGTTAATAGCCAACCAGTGCAATATTATAAGTGCTGCAGCGTAATTTGCCAAATGTTCCGCCCCCTCCTTGGAGAAAATCACGATGCTGTAATCCAAGCGATGATAGAAGTAGACATAGAGGAGTGGGATGACTTTCTTTTAGCCTATTTGTTTTTATTTTTACAATGTTTTTGTAATGCATTAATTATCACGGGCTGTAATAAAAAACAAGTAGTCCTATACTAATACTAAGAGTAAATATGGTTCGAATAGCCTATATTTTAGTAGGCTATAAATATGTGGCTATGTTACAGCTCCTCTTTGAAGCTCTTGTGTTTTTCTCCTTTTCCATCTCTCCAATCATATTCTGCACACAGGTGATTGGAGATGAGTTTTGTTCCCATTTTTGTTGCAGTTTGCTGATTTTTGTAAAATAGCTTCCATTTTTGCTTTCCAGATAAAAGAGTGGTTTCATTAATATGTTGCAGGCTCATTTATTGGTAATAAATAATTGATAATAAATAATATTGATGATAATAAATCATCAAAAAAAAATTGGGCTTGTTTTTGAAGCAGCGGTTGCTTATTTGTCTCGAGAGAGTTGGCAACAGTGCCCCAATCAGTTTTCTAAAGCGTTTTTGAAAAATCGCTTACCCCACCTTTAAGTGTATTTACACCACCTGTTTAATGCAGCTCAGTGGTGGCATAAATACTACAAGTACAAATGAATGTTAATGTTATGAGATTAATGTTTTACATATACAATTATGAAAACAGAAACATCAAATGATGAGGTAAAAAATAAATGACAGCCACCTTTCAAAAACTACAACCACAATTAGGTGAGTCGTTGAATCATTCTTTCAACCAGTTCGTTCAAAATGGCTAATTCATTCAGGAACAATCCAAGTAACTGTCTTTCTCAATGGGACACTGAATCATTCATTCAAAAATGCAGATTCATTCATTAACGGAACACCACTGTGTGTTGCTCAGACACACACAATGGTTTTCCTCTGGTTTATTTATTACATAACTCAACATTATACTTTATTATATATAGACCCCACCTTGAACTTCCTGTATGGGCTAAAATGTCGCACCTCTGCGACCACATACTGCTGGAAGAAAGGGTGGTTTAAGGCATCTATGGCAGTGTAACGTGCCTCAGGATTCACCACCAACAACCTGGAGATCTGAAAAAGTTTACACACCCCACAAAGTGCAGGTTAGTGGATCCACTGTAGGCTTGTATTCATTGGCTGGTAAAGCTAAACAAGTGTATTCCACTATTTTGATATTCCCAGATACGCACCAGTGCTTTGGCAGTGTCTGAACGGTCGTCCCACTCCGGAGAGGTGAACTGGTAGCTTCCCGTCAGGATCATGTGCAGCATTAGCATCTGCTTCCTGTGCCAGAAAGGAGGAGAACCTGTAAGAAGGGTGTACATGATCACCCCTGCACTCCAGCTGAAAAACACAAGAAACAGTGCGATTTCTCAATTCAGCCCTACTTAGAAGTAGAATGTAAACTGGTTTCATAAGCTTGCCTTTGGCCATCAAGACCAAGCTCTTTATATGAATGTTATGCAAAGCCTTTCCCCAATATATGAGGGTCTTTCTCACAGATCGACGGCGTTCCCGTAACCCTGGTGGTGAGGATCCATAGAGCATTCGATGATCTCCGGGGCTAGATAGCCTGGCGTTCCACATACCTCTATGTGTGACAACACAAGATCAAAAGGAAGCTCTAATGAAACACATATTTGTTATGTATTTGGGATCCAAATATGTGACCCTGGACCACAAAACCAGTCATAAGGGTCAATTTTTTTTAATTGAGATTTATACATCTGAAAGCTGAATAAATGAGCTTTCCGTTGATGTATGGTTTGTTAGGATAGGACAATATTTGGCCGAGATACCACTATTTGAAAATCTGGAATCTGAGAGTGCAAAAAAAAATCTAAATATTAAGAAAATCGCCTTTAAAGTTGTCCAAATGATGTTCTTAGCAATGCATATTACTAATGATAATACATTTTTGATATATTTACGGTAGGAAATTTACAAAAGATCTTCATGGAACATGATCTTTACTATGATTGTTGGCATAAAAGAAAAATCGATAATTTTGACCCATACGATGTATTTTTGGCTATTGCTACAAATATCCCCCGGCGACTTAAGACTGCTTTTGTGCTCCGGGGTCACAAATGTACTATTTATATCAGCATGTTACAGTATAAATGACAATTGTTTTGGTTGAATCTCATGTGAAGTAAGTCAAATATTTTTATTGTATTGTATTAATGTAGTATATTAGTGAAAAACATTCTGTCCAATCACATTTTGCCCAGACTAAATTGTCAGCAAAAATGTAGATTAAATCAGCATAAATGTACAGTAGATAGTAAAAATAGTAGTATATATGATGATGTAAAAAGAGAAAAAAATATTTAAATAATAAATATTATATTGTTACATCTTATAATTTAATACAATAAATATGATAAGGTTATAGTATAGTTTTTTACTATATACTATTTTTAAGATTATATTATATTAAAACACTGGTTATATTAAAATTTACAATGTTTTGCATAATGATTTATTATCCATATAAAATCATACAATAAATAAGATTATATTAGAATATTTACATATATGTTAAAAGATACGTAATGATTTTAATACGTTTTTTTTGCATTACAGTCATTTAGATGAAATTCACCCTTTTACAGTCTTATAATAAAGTGTATTAAAATCTCCCTCATTAGTTCGCCATGCGTGAAACATACATTTATGTAATTGACTGGTCATTCTTGTAACAGTGACGGCTACTCTGTTCTTGGTTAAAGGTCAGAGGGCACACCAAATAGCAATTAGCTCCTCCAGTTCCAGTAACATCTCATATACGGACAGCATGAAACCCGAATCCAAGGGTTACACAAACCTGACAGCTACTGGGCAGAAAATGCAGGGCATGTAGCTAGTAGGGGTGTAAATGGAATATTTCATCATGATACAATCTGACATTGATTCTCTTAGCCAGTGATACGACATTTGCTAAATATGCCACAACATGATTAAGATTTGATTAGATTCAGGGGCCTGCGATCGATATATCAATATTATGATGATATCATGTGGCTATTTTTCAGTTACATACACACGTTAAGTTAGTAAAAAAAAAAAAACATCAAGTCACATACCATTAAGTTTTTGTCCTGGTGCAATCTGCACAGCAAAGCCAAAATCAGTGAGTTTGATGTTCATGTTGTCATCCAGAAGGATGTTTTCTGGCTTTAGATCTCTGTGCACAATGTTCTGAGAGTGAAGGAACTGAACCACCTCCAACAGGGACCGCATAATCTTCCTGCAAAATGAAAACAGAGAATATTTTTACATTACAATAAAGGGGGAATGTGATTAATTGTCATGATCGTAACTTTTATGTATTTATTATTTTATACTCTTGATTTTGTGGTGAAATATGACCTGCATGGGTTTCATGAGATCCGTTATAAATGATACTAACCTTGTCTCTTTTTCACTGAGTGTAACCTTCTCGGTTAGGTAATCAAAAAGCTCTCCTTTCTTCATCCTGTGAGAACAATATTTACTGCATTTAACTATTTTTCAAATGGTTTAATTAAATGCCAGACCACATGTACCTCCAGATGTGTTTGAGACTCATAATTCCATTTCTGTTCATTAAACATGCCTGTGAAACTTGTTCAGTTTATGTCCCAGTTGTTGACTTTTTTTTATGTTAATACAAATATCTACTTGCTGGAAATAAAAGCAGTTGAATGTGAGAGGACGTTTCTCATTTTTGCTGAGTTTATAGTATGAAATCACACACAATGAGCTCTACTTACAAGTCAAACACTAAGAAGAAGAAAGCTTTAGTTTCAAAGGAATCCTTCAGTTGAACTGGAGAAGCAAAGAAGCAATGTGTTCAAACCATAGACCTTCTCAACAAGACACTGTTACATTTCACGATTTAAAGCTGCTACTTTGTGGATACTTACTGATATTTTCTTGGCCACACACTTTCTTGAGGATGTCTATCTCCTTTATTGTGGCATTTCTGATCTCCTCGATCTCCTCAGGGCTCATCTTATCTGACGGCGTGATGTCTATTCTCTTGACTGCATATTCCTGAGCGGCGTGCTTATGGATGCAGCGTCGAACCACACTACTCACCCCTCTGCAACGCAATCACTATCAATGAGAACTACTATTCTGAATATACAAAACACTTGAAATCAAACAAAATCACTTCATGATCAAATCATTTGTCTTCTGAAGAAAATAATGGGTTGTGTAGTATATAACACCGATTGCATTGTATAGTGAACTCAATTTGCAGCTTATTAATGCACAGGGAATCAGTTATGAATGCATGCATGCATCATCTTAAGGGTGCAGTAGGAGATCTTGGAAAATGCTAACTTTAGCCTGATAGCACTGAAAGCGAACGTCCCACCCTCCCTGCAATCGTCGTACAAAGCCACCCCCCCTGAACGCATATACGCTCACAGACCAGAATACCAGAGACAACATTACTACAATAGGCTACTTCAGCGGTTCCCAATTCCAGCCCATGTTTTAAAACGGATTTCCCCGCTCAGGGAGGAGGGAGCAATGAACACTGTGTAGGGATCATATCGATCGGAACACAGTTCATGAACGTAGCTCACTTCTCATGAGCTGGTTATCTGAATCGGGTGTGTTAACTAGCGAGACATGCAAAATATGCAGAAGACTGGAATTGGGAACCGCTGAGCTACATCGTGTGTCATTCACCGGTGAGAAAACTTTAAAAGTACTACAATACCAGGAAGGAAGATCGGGTTGTTGATGTTTGCCTGCCATCCTCGCTCTGTCTGCACAGCGTGCGTGAACGCTGATGACGTATCCTGTCTGCGCGAACCCGGTGCGCAGAGGTATGCTAATACATAAGTTGACAGGCAGGTAGGCAAGCCAATTAAAACGCTCGGACCGAGCGTTTTGATTGGACGAACATTTCTTGGTCCTACGCCTTCCACAGAATATATAAATACAGATAAATACATTTAGACCACTTAACTTAATGATTGCTATCGGGATGTGAAGAGACTTTCAACCAGCATAACAAAAACATTTTCTGAAGACGATCACCTATTGCACCTTTAAGACCCTCAGGACAAAATGTTATCAAGGTAACTACATGAGGCTATGGTATAATACTGCTACTTCATCTTAACAGTGCTTTTTACATTAATAAAGGACACAAGTAGGCAATGAAATAGTGTCAGGGTTGCTGAATTAGGAGTTTGTGACTACAGACACATATCATAATAAGTGATGTTAAAAATGAAATATTTGATAACAATAAAGGCTATTTATTTAATAAATCATAAGCATTATAAATATGCATTAAAACGGGTACAGGCTACACAGTTTGGTTAAACTCAATTGAAGTAACCCAAAACCAGTCCACATAATTTGGTCACTTGGTAACTAAACCGGATTTAAGTTAAAAACGTAGACACCAAGACAAAACTTCGAACCAATATGGTGTTCATTACGGTGCACAGTGAATTTCATTCTCCTCTAGCTGTATTTGGTGTTCATTAAATTACTGAGATTATTACTATTGATTATTAATAATCCAACAAAAAGCTTTCAAATATCCATCTTGGCCAAAATAAAACAAAACATTTGGAAATGATTATCAGCAACAACAAAAAAAGTAATTACCGGTACTATCATGTGAAAAAAAATTGTTTGTTTTCATTTCTTAAATTGGCCTGAAATATGACCGGAATATTTTTTGGTCTTCATCAATATATCTGTACAATATGACAATACCTTCCAAGGATCTCCTTTGGATCATACTTCTCATAGAAGTCCTGTGATCCAGCCCAGTCAGGAATTTCATCTTCTTTGGTCATTATTATAAACTCACCTGTAAAAAAACTGGGTTATTGCAAACCTACTGGACATCGGACACACATGTTTACATTTGTTATGCTTAGGATAAATCTTTATAAGTTTATTATAAAGTAACCAAACAATCAAAACATTTAATAACATAGTACAAGTTATAAACTAATAAAATAACACTCATAATATATATATATATATATATATATATATATATATATATATATATCTATATA